GTTATCATGGCAGGTCATATGCTATCCTCACCCACACCAATATGATGTGAAATCAAGTGGCATGCAGTGGTGTACCAAAATTATTGTCTCACTAATTTTATTTTGGCTTCCATATTCTGTATTTGAGCAGGGAGAATGATATATAGTCAGGAAGATAAAATCAATTTAGATTATCTCCTCTTAGGCTAAGGTTGCCTACTGCCTCAATTGCTGGCATTTTATGATTTGTGGTCTGAACTGTTTAAAATCACAATAACTTAATACTTCTTCTGGGTACTCTAGGCAACTATACTAATTATTGATTTTTATCAAATGCCCTTTAGTTAATACTATAATTTTTAAAATATTATTTGGCCAAAGGACCACAGACTCTCAGTGAAAATGTGAGCAGAATGCAATAGTTTGATAAACTTCAAAAAATGTAGGTCAGTGTGAATTTGTAAAATGATGCAGTTCTATGCAGAATTACTAAAATTTGTATATTACTGAAATCATCACTCAAAGACCTTTTTAAAAGTGCCAGAAACAATATTATATGTGTATTTTTAACCTTTATCCAAACAGCAGGAGCACTGTCAACCGAATTTGCATCTCATAGCAGGAACCAACACCACTGCCTACTGCATAATGAAGTATCAGAATAACAATAAGTTACCTTGTCAGATGAAATTTTTTAATTTTTGAACTACATAAAGCAAATAATTTTATTATTAATAATTCAGCCGCTACTTCACAGATTTGTTACAGAAGATCATTTTTAATTGTGTGTTTTGAGCACATATGTTGGTAATCTTACGCCTATTTTCAATTACACAAAATATTCCCTATGACAAGGAACACACACTTTATGTTAGCCAGTAGATTCATGTTTTTAATAAAAGAATGCATCCTAAACTTGCACTAATAAACATTGATATTCTTCTGATTTGTTTAATAATTTTCAGATCATGATAAGACACTACATTTGTTAAAACATCCACATATTTCCTCTACAAAGGTATTCCATAAAAACCTGTGTGGGTAGAAAGTCTGATAGGACTAAGCTTATATGGGAAGCCAGGTTTGTAGGAAGATGCAGTAGATGCTGTTACTATACTGAGATAAACTTTAAGATAATGAAAAGCTTATGTGCTAAAATAATTACCTGCTTTTTCAGTTATAACAGTTTAATGAGCAGTACTATTCCAGCTATGAGCCATGCAACAGACAGATCATTTATAAAAATAGAAAAAGATTATTAATTAACCTAAAACATGTTTTGCATTTACAGAACTCTTTTTCTCCCCCAGAAATTGTTTTGAGCTTTAAAAACACAGACCAAACAATTTGCCTGTATTCAACTATCCCACTTCACAATGAACCAGGAAAAGTTTATCCTGAAGCAAATTGATCCAGAATCCGCCAACTATCATGCATCATAGCTAATATTCATGATGTCATATCGATGATACCCATATATCCCAAGAAAAGATTGCTCAATGAACCCACAATACCTATGAACAAAGAGAAGGCTGTCAGCAAGTGTACAAATTTAATCCACAAATCATTTAATTTCAACCAATTTTCAATTTACTTTAATGGAATTTGGATTTATTTTCTCTGGGAAGGCATACATGTAGCAGGTCACAAGCATGAAACTTCTCAATGAACACATTTCCATGTAAGCTATCTGAAACTCTAACTCCATTTGGAAGATTAAGTTTATGTCTTTAGCACCACTTACGCTTATACACATCATTCTGTATGGGAACAGTGAAACCCCCGCATAACATGTGTGCATAACATGTTAGAATTAATCTGCTAATGTGTGAAATAGTATATTCATATCCAACTGCTTTTAGATTCTTTTGTTGCTCCCTTTCAAATTCTTGAAAGTATGGTAAAAGAGATGAAAGCTCCAGGTTCAAATAGCTTTAAAAAAATTCTATATTTATGCTAAAACATCAGTGCTTTGCCCAAGCAATGTTTGGACTGCTACATACCCCTAATTTTGTACTGTGTCTCAGGATAGAATCATCTTGGGACCTACTATCCCTGAGACAGAATTGTCTGCATGTTTGGTACAAATGTACAGGGCAGTATAATGCCTGATAGAGATATTTTAGCACAACAGACAAAATGTGTAGGCTGCAAAAGTATGTTGAAAATTATTTGTAAATGCTTAAAAAAAATATCAAACTTTACATGGATTATGGTATAAATATTCGTGAGGATGTGTGATAATCAGGAATGATCATGATGATTTGGATGATAGCACTTTCTAAAGAGATCATGAATTACATTGAACTTCTACAAGTATTTTAGACTTCATCTAATTTCATCAAGTAAAGATTATTAATCATTCAAAGCAATCTGGTAAATTCAGATTGATGACAATGGGAAACATTTTGCATCCCATTATCATTATTTCTGTAATATAAAACTATATTTTTGACATTATTTGTGGTTTTTTATCACCAGTTCTGTTCTAAATAAAAGCACTTCCATATACACTGTTTGGAAGAAGTACCTGAGTATATAAGAACATGAATAGACTGTAGTGATATGTTGATAGTCATTTCATCCATTATAGATAGATGTAGTAAAGCTGAATAGAGGGCTCTGTAATCAAGAAGAAATAGTATTAAATACATAAAGCATGGATCATACATTCTGATATTGAAGGTAAAGTGGCATAAAATAAAAGAACAAAGTTGATACTATATGCATTGTCGATTTATTCATTTGTTTATGATTGATGGATACAGAACAAAGAGTTTCCAAGTAAAAATGCTTATGTACCTACATGCAGTGACTCTGAAATCTGTACCTTAAGGACAAAGAAAGGTCGCCAATCTCTCCAACTCCTAGTTCTTTGTCAAAAATGGACACAGTTAATGAGGTTTGTTTGGTACAGCACAAATTCTCAGACACAGATAGAGATCCTTTCAATGGAAACAAATTTGTTTGGCTTTACCAGGTTACTTAGCGATTAATAATAGCCTTGAGATGCAGGTCAGAAAGGTCATCGTCCCCGCTTGCCAACACAATCTAAAATGTGCAGCTAGTCCAGCTCTGCAGGCTTTGAGGCCCCGGAATGCTATGCATAAAGTAAAACAGGCTATTTTCCAACTTCTTTTTTCATATTAATAAGCAATTTTCAAGAGAAGGGTGGCAAAATGGGGGCCATGCCACTCTAAGTAATTCATTTATTTTGCAATTTAATCTTATGTTGGAAAAAAATTACACTGCTGCAAAAGCATAGCATGGTGATTTTTAAACGTCAGTGTGCTTCATAAGTAACCTTGTATGAAATATTGTATTAGCAGCCTTTAACAGTAAACTGCAACAAAAAATATTTTCAGAGATTGAAACATACCTGTACATTTTTTCCAATCTTTATTTCCTTCTCATTCTATTTTTCTTTTACAGTGGAAATAAAACGTGTTTAATTACTTAATATTTTAGTTGTTTTAATTGATAAAAACTGCAAAGATAGCATGAAACAATTAAAAATTCTACACTGCAACTTGTACTTAAGAATGTGAATTCTTAGTTTTCATATTTATAAAGCAATTATTATTCTTTCATATATTTTGATGAACTAATTTAATGATAACTAAAATATCAAGAGTAAGTCGGAGCCACAATCTTAAAAACACTTTCAGTATGGCTTTCCCATGGGATTATTCATATCAGCAAACTTATCCATGTGCATATTTTGACATGATTTGACCCATGTCCTCACAGTGTCTTATTTGTTACTCATTGAAACAACTGAGACTGTAAATGTGGACCTCTCTAAACGATCTGTTTTGCAGGAATATTTGAATTATCTAGTTATGTGAATAATATTTTTTATTTTTATTTTATCATAAACACACATGCTTAAAAAAATAAAGACTAGAATTTACTCACTTAATTAACATTTAAGCAATCTAAATGCTTGACTGAATATGCTTGGTGTCTTTGGCACACAGGTTAATTTGAACTAGCCATTTTGTAATAACAAAAATAACAAATGTTAATCAAACTAACCTTTTTTAACTGGGTCAAAAAAATTCCATAAACGTACACTGTGCACAATATCATGGAATTTCATTCCTTATAGAACATTAATTCACTCTACTGTTTGCATAATTTATGGCAAGCCTGGCTCTATGAAAAAAAAAAGCCTTGGAGGAGGAAAACTCTGCCCATTTTCTGTTAAAGTTTTACTCTAAATATTCAGTTAAAATCATGAGTTTTCTCCATTCTTTGAAACCTGGTATTAGGTATAGTTCCTTATTTCTTGTACGATGAAAGAATTTTCTGCACAGGCAGTGGTTCATGAGGCAGTTACATTCCTGTTTCTTGTGGTGGCCTGTATGATTCCTATCAAACCAGAGCAGGAATGACCTATGCAAGAAGTCTAATGCCATGGAAACTCCTCTTAAGGGCAATGTATGCATAAAAGGTTTACATCCAGTTTTTCTCTATGCCTACATTCTCAACCTTACAAAAGGCTCAAGGATCTAGGATTGAATGTGATCTTTCATCCCATGTCTACTGTCCTCTCTCATTCCAAAAGATCTCCCCTTTCTGCAGATCAGGAGGGGCTGCTGAGACATAAGTGAACAGTTTTCATTTTAAAACCATTTTCAGGAAAATCACTACATTATAATAGCTCCTGCTTAGAGATAATAAAACTAAAATTACACTCAAAGACAAATAAAAGGACATATATGAGTAGTATTTTATCAGGCTGTAAAAATACATAGGTTGACATGTGCTTCAAAAGAATAAGCGATATGAACACATATACTGTTCATACTTTTGGTCACTTTAATCCTATTTCTTCATAGTTATATTTGTGTAGATCCTGCTGCTGTGGAATTGAATGAACTGTAAGTTTGCATTCCTGGGGTGTCAGTATACTGCTAATACATAATAGCTGTTGAGCTATGAAAGGGTTAAAGTAAAATAGAACATTAGCACATCTTTTATTGTTGTAATATAATAGCAGACTTATTTTATTACAGGAGTGAACTTCAAGAGTATGTAGAAATGAAGGAAAATGAAGAGAAAATGAAAGACCTAGAAAAGAAAGAAAAGGAAAAGAAATACCAAGCCCGAAAGATGCATTACCTCCTTAGCACTGAGCAGGTTGGTATACCTGTCCCTGACAGCTCATGCAAACCACTTGGGCCCCCAGCCTGACAGAGATAAACTAGCAGGCTGAATGGGACATGACTTGTTGAAAAGATATCACAAAGACACTACTTCGAGTTCAATTTAGTGCCTTTCTATAGGCAAGAGCAGGTACCATGACTATTCCGTGACAGTAGCCTCATAGAGGCAGCATCAGCACTGCTGGCAGAAAGAGTCCAAGTCAGCAGTTTGATCTGCCACTGTGATAACACAACATGAAGGGCATAACCTCGCTTTAAAAACTCATTTTGACTGGCTTATTGTTGTGTTGTTGCACTTGTCAAGAACTAACAAGTTATTAAGCTGAGAAGGGATTTCATTTTTTTCCCCTTTTTTAATTGACTTAATGCTTGGGTTGGTGCTGTGTTCTTCTTGTTTTTAGGATAGATTGTAAATGCAGGTTTTCAGCTAAAGCTTTTCCTAGAACTGCCTGAAACAGCTTATTTAGCATGATTGTTTTCATTGAGAAATGCCTCATAAATTTTAAATATTTGCTGATTAATTCGTTTTGTATCGATAAAACGGGTATGTTTTTCTAAGCTTTTTTATGTAAACTGCTTTACAGACAGGTGAATATGGCAGTAGATATATCATATGCAAAACTGATGTGATTGGTAAAGCTTGTGGGTCTGCCTTTTTTTAGTCACTTTTTGTGAACTTTAAAAAAAAACCAAACCCAAAAGATTTTGTCTCCATAAATGTTTGGTGACTTGTTCTTCGTTTGAATATGGAATTAAAGTGAAATGTTAGTATGAACTAAATGCTTGCTTTTCGTGGGTCGGTAATTATAATCTGTGTCTAAGAACTTTTAATCCTAAAAAATGCAGAAAAATGCCATGACAGCTAGTGACAAGATATTTAATCTTCCCCTCTGTTTGGGATATTTGTAATTTTATTTTGGAGAAAAAAAAGCATAGTATAGTATTAGTAAAAAATAGCATAAAATGTTTTCTGAGTGCCTTTTAGACAGAGGAGCTAGTTAATAACTGAAATTAGATCACTATAATGGATTTTTCCAGGTGTAGATCTAGGATATTAAGAATAATCTGCACAGTACTTTTATATTGGTTTAAACGTAGAAAATCAGGACTTTTTGTTTTGAACAGAACAATTAATGTAAATAAATGCATAAACATTACAATGCTTACCTGGAGCACAAAAATTGTCAGGTTAGAGACATTGAGTGACCTGAGGTCCAAGATCTTATTAAACTTAGTTTACCTAATATCTGATTATACTGGTTTAGCTATCTGTAACATATTTTTAAGGAAAGGCAAGTAGTGCCTTGTTTCAGCCATCCACCGGAAGACTGCTGGTAGAGGGCAGCAGTAACTATTATGTTCTGATGAATTTAGATTTCTAATTTTATAGAATTATAATTTAGTTAGCAGTGTCTTGCAGAACAAAAATATGCTTGGTTTTGCTTGATGAGATGGTTTGTTAATACTAGGACAGCCTACAGGATTTTTTCTTTATGATGGAACTGTGGTCCGAGAACCATCTTCTTTTGTAGGGAAATATTTCAAAACATAAATGAGTGTAAATCTATGCAAAACTTACAGACAACCTGAACAACAGCAAAGATATATTTGAAGTTAACTACTTACTGCAATCAAATCTATATTCCACACTTGCACGTAGTTGTAGAATTTAATATCTTGCAAAGATACAGGACAAATTATTTCAGTGCAGAATTTACTGGTTTGATTCTCTGTTTGACATTTTACTCTCTATATGTCTGGTCTTCTGATCTGACTACAGCTGTGTCTTGTTGTCTTCAAAGGATAGTTAATTGGATTAGGACCAATTCATGTCTCAGTAGAAACAGGCAGCAAAAGTTAACACTTTTGAGTGATTAAAGTAAGTTGATAAGCTGGACGAGTCATGTATCAACTAAAGCCCAGTTAAGTTACAGAGACCTGCTAGAGTTTGCTTCTCCTCCCCTTCCTGCCATACAATGATGGAGCTGAGCCACCTTGTACATCAAGGCTACAGATGTTCAGGCAGGTTATAGGGACAACATTGCAAAATCTGTATTTGCAATAATTGTTTCAAATATATTCTATAGTTTGGAATCTTTTTAGTTTAGTACAGGCAAAAAGGGAGAACAGGGTGTTTACGTAGTGAAAGAAAATATTTAAGGAGTTACTGCTCCGCAATTTTTGTAAAGAAAGGCATGTCAAATTTCATTCTCCACTCCCTACAAGCTGAAGCCCACAAACCCATCTCAGAAATGTTTATATATAATATATATATAATTATATACCTACATATATAGGTAGCTACATATATGTAGCACACTACAAGGTGTGCTCATTCCTAATTACTAACATTGTTTTACACTTCAAAAAGTAAAACTGAAGAATGCAGTATCATGAACGTACAGGGATGTCTACTATGTACATAATAGCATGGGCTAGGACAAAGTCAACATTTTGTCTTTTTCATGAATGAACTTTCTATTAAAGGATTTATTTCTTTCATAAACTGTTACCTCTCTAAAGAAAAGCAGAGATGAAGAAATGGATATCAAACTCTGAATTAGAATGCATTATTTGTCATTACTGGTACCAGGTATATATACATAGTCTTATATAGACAGCTTGCTTTGATTCTTTTCCAAGCCAATCTGGAGCTATAACATGGGGCTGAACCCAAACTAATTAGCCCTGTTGAGAGCCACAGTATATTAGCTCAAGAATTAATGCAGTTACACAGCTCCCGGTCAGCTAAAAATATGAGAAGAATAAATGTGTGTATGCTTTAAACTCAGGAACAAAGAGTTTGATCTGCATACAAAATATTATATAGACATACATACAATTAAATTGTTTTGTCTGCAGTTACACACCTTTCTGGGGGGAAGTTGTGTGTCTTGAGTACCACTGCTAGGGAACTGACATTCGAGGAAATCACTGGATGATTAAAAATATGTGCTATTATACCATACTCTACAGCTTTCCTATATATTTTGGAAACAGTTGATTGAGTGTATTTTGCCATGTAATCTTACACAAATATGACTATTTCCTATTGCTGCTTGTAGAAATACATTGCATTTACACAAATATTACAGTCCACTGAAGAACTAAGCAGTTAGTTAGTACCTTAGAAGTTTAAATTCATATTAAATAATGTAATTATTGGCTGTATTTCTCTGAAAGTACAATATTATGTATCCCACCAATGCCAACCAAATAATGTCTGGAGAAATAGAGCATGAGCTCTAGAACTTCAGGGTTATTAAATATTAAGCTTTTAATCAACATGCTATATGCCAGTAGTATCAATAACTAGTCAAATAACATGAGTTTCTTGTGTTTAAAGGAAGCTTTTCCTGCATGATTCCTTTAATTGTAAAAACAAACAAAAAACATTCTTACCACATGATAAGTTATGTTCTCTGCTCCACTTTATGTTTGCTTATTGCAAGAGATTCCAGTGTAAAACCCAGCAGGAAATAAATCTGTTGGGCTTCCAAACTAAATTCCATTTTGAATTAAGATCTCTATATTTCAGATTTTAAAATTGTTACATAATGCAATTTTTTCCTTATCTGCTTTTTACCCTAGCAGTCTGATAAATTTTGACATCATGATGAACATGATAAAAATTACAGTACATATTTAACAATTCTTTGCCTTTGTTAAGAATATTTCTTATAATTTCTTATTGATAACGCTATTTTAAGTTGTTTTTATCTGTTTTATCATGAACTGCATTGTGATTTCTTATTGAGACATGAAATTTATAATAATTAAGTTTTTCTTATTAGTCCAGAATCACAGTATGCTATTTCCACTCAGTAGTAACAATCCTTTTTTTTTCAAGAGGTAATTAGTAGGTGAACTACTTATTAAAATGTGGTTTTCATTAAAAACATGTTTATCTATGCAGATTATCCTTTTATGTCCCTGTAGTTCCCCTTTCTGTATGAACAACATTCACTATAATTGAATAGTTTCTTACTTCTGCTCTTTGTCATATTTTCCAAGCTGACATTTGTAGTAAGGACCATCTCTGCAAAGTGCTGACAAATGACCTTTGAAGTCAACGACAGACAGAGGCTCTGAACACATTGGTGGCACTTTGTAGAAATGGGTACGAAGAACCCACTTTTGTTGAAATATGTGGTTGCATGATTCCTGAGGTCATTGGTATTTCCAGCTTTTCAAGAACTTTTGCAGTTGGTCTTTGTCTTACAGTAATGATTAGAATTAGGCATATAACAACCTAAATCCAAAGATCCAGTATCGAGCAAGAATGCAGACCTTTATTGTTTTAAGTATGTGCTGACAGAGCAAGCAGCAATGCTGAGGTGATTCTGTGAGTGGGAGCGAGCGTGTCAGCTCTGCTAAGACCTACTGCTGCTACCCAGGCAGAGCATCTGCAAGTCCACGGTGTGATGGGGAACAGAAGCCAATGGTAACCAAAACAGAGAGCAGAAATGGTGGAGGGAGAAATATCGTGCATGTTTCATAAGGTATTGAGATCAGAAGAACAGTCTTATGGAAAGTCTTCAAAATACCCCAGCTGAAAAAGCCTTTTGCTATTACAGTTTCTCCTGTCACTGAGAAAAGGATTGGAGAATCAGCAGAGCAACAGATCTTTTTCCTTTATGGTTGCTTCCTGTGTAGCAAACAGTACTGGGTGAGGTAAAAGAGAATTTTAATTCTCTTTTCTCCAATTTTCTGCTGTTTATAAACAGATAAACCACAATTACCTTTTGTCAGAGAAAGTGAATGTACAGTTAGTCCAGGAAGCCGAAGTTCTTTTGATCTGCAAAAGCTTGAGAGCTTTGTCTCACAATTACAAAACATATTTTTACATTGTTGATAATGAGATGTTATACATGCATCACTTTAAGCTTATCATTGCTGAGGCTGTTGGACTGAATCATGGCCTCATTTCTAAACCTGGAACTCCTGCTCTGTGATAAATCATGCTGAGAGTAG